TATCATATATTTTTTTATGATTATTCTTAAAATATCGATTGCCTTTTTTGATTTGAAAAATTACAAATACCTTTTGTCAGAATGTATAATTTAACAGAATTAACTGAAAAAATAGAATTTCTAATTGATCTCCTATGCAATGATAAAACTACTTGAATTATTAATTGAAATAAATTTTTGACATTATTAAAAACTGTTACTCCAGATGACTTAATGATTTATTAATAAAATGGGTCATTTGTTATAAAATTAGAAACTTCAAGGTACGGGATATAATTTCCAAAATCACAAGAGGTAAATCATATTTTAAACACATCTCAGTTGGTGTATTTGTAATTGCCCTTGGGAAAATTGTACTAGTAATCCCTGTACTTTGGTCCTTGTATCATTTTAGTCCTTGTAATGAAAAATATACATATAAGTGACATATATCATATTTTTTTAGAATAAAATTATAAATTTACTAAATTCAATGAGTTAATATTAACCAATACAATGATTATTTCCCGTAACAAACACTAATGACATTATTAATTTGAATTAAATTGACACAAAATTTAAAATTCAAGATCAAAATTAAGTCAATTAAAAATGAAAATACCAAAATAACACAAAAATAAAATATAAGATCACCGATATAATTTACCTTTTATCCTTTAATAGATCTACTAGTCATGAACAGTTTAAAAAACATTTGTTTAGTTAGAGCATCTCCAACGGTTCATTACTTTTTTCACCAAATTTAAGTAAAAAATAGTTAATATTCTCAATCTAACATGACTTGCTCCAACGGTGCATCAAAAGAGAATGGTCATCCAGTGGGTCGACCGGTAAGGCAAGATTTTTTTTTTTTAAACCTGTTTGAACCTTTTTGACCCTGTTTAAACCTACCTATTTAAAAGGGAACTGGTCGACCGATAGTTTAACCGGTTGAACATCCGGTTGGTTGATCGGTTGGCCTACCCCAACGTTATAGCACGGTGAAATACTAAAATCGCAAGCTTGTTCTCAGTTTGATGAAAGTTTTGTTCTGTTCTCATTTTGATATCAATTTGGTGAAACCATTGGAAACACAAACAGTGACTTTTTCATCAAATTTCAAATCTGATGCTGGGTTTGATGCACCGTTGGAGATGTCCTTAAAAACAAATATTTTAAACAAAATTATTTTGGTAAAGTTTCATTAGCCATGACCTCAATGTCGCCACCATCTCTGACCATCAATGATAACCTTTGGTCATTGACGACAATTTTGCAATAATCATTCCTAATTGTCTATGATCATTTCTAACGATTTTCCGATGAAGTGAAATTTTATTTGCCGATCAATTATCTAAACTTATGTAAGTGACGAATCAATCAAAACTTATATTAAAAAATAATTATTTTTCTATCATAGTAAAAATTCACTACAATAAAATTGATTTTTTACGGCACCACATCAATAACATACAATAAGTTTCAATCATGACGTGTCTATTGCGTAGACCGTGAATGGTAATAGTAATGATTTTTTATGACTTGCAATGTTAGTCGTAAATAATAAATTTTTTTATGATATGCATATTACATGCTGTTAATACATCAATTATACATGATACACGTACGCTAAACGTGAAAAGTATTATAATTTTTATAGTGCACAAAATCCTAACCGTTAAAAATATTACACTTTTTACGACGCACAATTTACATCGTAAATGATATGACCCAAAAAAATAAGCGTCAAAATAAAATTTCTCCCGCCAATCACCAAAAAAAAAAACATATATATACGCCAACTGTTTGGCTTCTATTAGCTTCTAATCAGAGAGACTGGTTGGAAGGGTTTGAATCTGTCTTCGACGGCAGCGGCGATCGACAGTACGATGAGTCTGGTTCGACAGTGGCGACAATCGACGGGACGCACTCATCTCTTCTATGTTGTCGTATCAAAGGTGTTCATGTTGTTGTTGTATCCATCAACGTTTCGTTCTTTGTCTCTCTGCAAAATTCTTTGCTCACTTCCAGTTTCTGACTCGGTAGTCGTCTTCAAACTCACCGGAGATAAGTTTTGCGGCTTCGATTAGAAAATCCAGATTTCCCTTGCTCGATCGCTATTCATCTCCAAGCACATAAATTGTTTTTTCCTCAACAATTTTAGATTCTTCCTCATTTTCAATTTGAACAGCATATGGTCAAACATTTTTTGCATTTTCTTAAATTTTGGTTTGAAAACTTGTTTTCATAATTTTTTATTTTTTATTTTTTTTTAAAACCCACATTTTGTTTCTAAATCAACAATGATTCATCCCACTAAAAACATCACCACTAATAACACTAATGCATTAAAAAAGTAAAAAAAAAAAAATACAACTCTAAGACCAAAACATCACATCATTAATGACGGGACTCACTGCCACCTAATTAGTGGGAGCACTAATTAGTGCTCCTAAGCATTTTTCTTTCTAAATATGCTTTTGGTTTTGGGGTTTTGGCAAAACAAGGTCATATTCCTTCTACTTCAAGGTAATCTTGTGCAATATATATATATATATATAGAGAGAGAGAGAGAGAGAGAGAGAGAGAAGAATTTTCCAAAATCGTGAGGTTGCTGAGGGAAACCTCTTATCCAACATAAAAAGAGCAAAATAGCAGGTCAATTTTAACTTTTTCTTTCATGAACAGAAGAGAGAGAGAGAGCTGGGTTGGTTTGGTATTATTTGTTATAACCATAATGATATGGGTTTTTTTTTTTTTTTTTTTTAAGAAAATTTTGGGGAAATTTTTTATTAAGAAAATTTTGGGGAAATTTAGAAAGTTCAGTAGTAGCATCACTCTTTACATTTGGTATAAAATTGGTTCACTGTAAACCATTTAAAAGAGAAAAAAAAAAAAAAAAAAAAGAGAATGTTTTATTATTTTTAAAAAATTCATAGCAAGTACTCTTGGCTTATTGCCCGGTGTGGAAGGTACAATAGTAGTAAAGAGTTAGCCCTCACCCAAACCATCGCCGCAAAGAGACTCGTACAATCTGAGTTAAGGACGCTCACAAATTAAGATTGATAAGAGCATCTCCAATGGTGACTCAAATTTTTTATTAAATTTGAGTAAAAAATGATTCATTTCATCAACTTTGATACTACTCACTCCAACGGTTCACCTTTCACTAAATCTATCCCGGGACAACCGGGTGGTCGACCGGCCGGTTGACCGGTTAGGCAAAAATATATATATATATATATATTTTTTGCGAATTGTCTGAATTTTTTTTTGAACTTTCTGAACTTTTTTCGGGACGACCGGGTGATCGACCGGCCGGTTGACCGGTTAGGCAAATTTTTTTTTTTTTTTTTTTAACGGTTTGAACTTTTTTTCCTGAACTGTTTGAATCTTTTACTCGTTGACCAGTTGGTCAACTGGCCGGGCAACCGGCTGGTTGACTGGTGTACCTCTTTCAACGGTCAGTAACAGTGATTTGGTAAAATCTGTGTCTCGTTCTCAGTTTGATATTTTTTTTGCTGAAATCTCATTTTGATATCAATCTGGTGCAACGGTTAGAGCATAAAAAAGTACCTTTTTCATCAAAAATTTAAATCTGATATCAACTTTGATTTACCGTTGGAGATGGTATAATGGAGAGTTGAATTTAGTCACTGAAGGTTAACTAACAAAATTTGAGTTTAGTTTCTCTGATGTTCATGTTCCCAATGATTTGTGACTCTGAAAGAATGTAATAATCTTGCTAGCAGTGTTATACAATGATCAACTAGGAAAAAGCCACTTAGGCCGTTTGTTTTCATAGATAGAATGGAAGGAATTCATAATGAGGGGATTAATAGTAAGGGGATTGATAGTGAAGAATTGTTAAATTATTTTTATATAAAATAATAAAATATAAAAAATTAAACATTATGTTTAAAAAAAAATTTCCAATATAAAAAAATAAAAAAATTTCTAATCCCCTCACTATTTTTCTAATACCATCTCTACCTCCTCCTTACCAATACCCCTTCTTCCTCCTTACTAATACTAAGAGATTATTAATCCTCTCCCTATCTTTCAAAACAAACACCCCATTCTCAATTTCCTCATCACTACCAAACCCAATCCCTTTCCTATAATCCCAAACAAACGGGGCTTAAAGCATGAAGAATGAGTTTGAGGGATTTTAGATTTTGTAAAACAGCTTTTGTGTCTGCCTTTATGACAGTTGAGGCTGCCCTAAAGATTCCAGCAGCAAGATTTACCATATCATTTCCCATGAATGAAATGTTATAGCGAGGGACTTTGGTCCGTTTGATAGAGCTGTGGGAAAGTGATTATAGATTATAACTTATAATTGTGAGCATAAGCTAGTAACTTATTTAGTGTAACTGTGTGATTATAGATTTAAGCCGCAGAGTAGTGTTTGGTAAATAAGCTGTAAAATAACTTTTTGCTGTATAATTGTCATTTTTACCCTTATAAACAAAAAATTTGTAATTTTGTCATTTTCTTCTCTTTAAATTTTGAAAAAATTATTTCATTAATGAAAATTGATTAATTAGTACCTAATTTGGTACATTTCATTATCTAAACTAATAATTTTTAAAAGTTAATCTCAATTACACAGTAAGTGGCAGATTCAAAATAATAACACTTACTCCAAATAGCAAAATTAATTTAAGTTTTTTGTGATCTCAATTTATAGTTAAATCATTCTCAGTCGATTCAATTGAATTAATTTAAAAATTGCTATTCAGATAATACAATTTAGCCCCTTACTCTCTGTAATTCCAATATCTGATTATTCTACTATGTAATCGGACCCCCCCCAAAAAAAAAGAAACTAAACTTGGGTTGCTGTTTCTGCTGAAAGCCATAGTTTAGCAAATTGTGATTTAGTTTAGCCCACAGCAGAATAGTCCAAAGATTTTGTTTAGCAAATTGTGATTGTGACATTCAGAAAAAAATTTCCATATCAAATTAAATTAATATAATTAGGCAAGGATTTAGCAAAAGAATCCAATGAGTCATACTTTTCATATACAATTTTCAAATAATCTTTAATCTTTAAGATGACTCAATCTGGTTGACTAAGAGTCAGAGTGAATAACACAATGTAGCACTTCTGTCTACAAAAGCCATCATAGGCACTTGAATAATATTCTTCTATGTGCAACATCTATATCATATTTGATCACATCCAAGCCAAAAAACTAAAATAGGAACAACAATGAAATAAAATAACCCCATGCTGCATTCCTATTCATCATCCTTGGGATCAATTACCATCCTTAGCTTCCTTCTTAATATAGCACCATTTTGGGATGTAACAGGAGTCACATCATCCCCAAAATCTGACAATTGATCCTCCAGCTCATCATGCAGTTGCTGATGCTGCAAATTATTTGCAACAATAGTGCCTACTTGCTTTTCACTGCTAATGCTAGTTGCTTGAGCTTCTGCATTGGAAACACGGTTGAGAGTACCATCATCATCAACTTCCATTCCACTGGGTTGTTCATGTCCATCCCTGAAAAAGCAAAAAATTACTAAAATTATCCTCAAACTTAAGCTCTCCCAAACTAATGCATGGTAGCCTTTTCTTGCCTTCACAAACTAAAATTTATTGAGGTTCACTAATCATAATAAAATATATAGGCAGTCAGGCACTTAATAAGCCATCGTCAGAACCTTGTTGATGGACTCAAATATGTTTGTAAAGTCAGTTAATGAATTGCAAACAATGAAAATTTTTTGTCATGGACATTGCTTGGCAGTGTTAGAAGTTCATACTGTCAAGCACAATAATGCACGTTCAGGTCTGGGCAGCCCCTACCCACAAATAATTCAAAGGTTAGATCTATCAAGTAGTACCCCTTCCAGCACCCCCCCACGGATGAGGATTGATATCGGGTAGTTTGAATGTCATGGAAAAAACTTCCATTTGTTTCCATCAAAACAACCAAAATGTTTCCAATTCTAAGAAACCAATGCTAAGAAGTTTGAGATAATCCAATGCCTTTCAAGCCCATATTTTGAACTTCCTTTCTGTTTTTTTGACAGGGTAAAAATGCCAAAGATAAAGAATGTTTGGCACAAACTTTTCCAAGCCCCTAAGTAAATCCTTGTATGTCCATTCAACAGTTTCTCCATGTTTCAATCTGCCTTTTGCAAAGGATAACAAATAAATGGGCACAACAGTTTCTCCATGTTTCAACAGTTTCTCATGCTTAAACTCAGATTTCAAACTGATGAATCAACTTATTAAACCAAAAGAGTATAAGCTTCACAAATATATATTCTATTACAACTACTAAATTTTAATGTCCAACAATGAAAAACCTATGAAGGAATAAAAAAAGGACCAAAAACAGTTTTAAAAACACGAAATCCATTAGGACAGGTAAAACTGAGTCTTTAAAAAAGAAAAGAAACATAATCAGCCAGAAAATAGTGAGTCGAACAATGATTATAGTTCCAGCAAACATTCACAAAATCAGTGACCATAACTTCTGCAACATGATGTTGCTTTTTTAGTCTAGTACTCCAAAGCCATGACTCTCTCTCTCAAAGTCAAAAGGCACAACTATAATGAGCACAAAAATGCAGGATCGTCCTCAAAAAAATAAAAAATAAAAAATAAAAAATTGCAGGATCTCTGAATATGACATAGCAGAGGATTTAAGGCCACAAAACCAAATGCACATCAAAAAATTACCCTTTCTTTATAGGTGCACATCAAATAAATATCATTGAAGAAGTTAAAACTTAAAAATAAAAAGATCTAAACTAAGAATTACGATCAAATTCTAAAATTTATTTATTAAAAAAAAATTCATTTTAAATCTGTTAAGGCCCCCCACCCACTTCTCTTCATCAACCCATAAATCCTAAGCCTACATGAACCAGAAACCAAAATCGATGAGAGAGAGAGAGAGCAACCAGAAACCAAAAATAAACACAAATCTTAATGGATTTGAACACAATCTAATATATATATCTATATATAACAAAACATGGGGTTTAGGTTTTCAAATCTTACTTTTTGGTGGAGATCAACGGAAAACAGGGACGATCGTCGGCGATCTTTGATGTGTGGAGCAGTTTCGTCGTTCGGCAGCGAGATGAGAGGGGAAGAGGAGAGCGCCATTTGAGAGGAGAAGAGAAGAGAAGTGTTAGGTATGAGATGAAGCACTATGGTCATATAGTGGCATTTTCGTTATTTCTTAAGTTTTGGATGGGTATTTGAGTCATTTTGCCCCTCCAGAATCAACTGCTCTTAAGCTCAATTTCTAAGCACCCTTGAAGCAACTTTCACATTTAAGCCGAAAATGGCTTAAATTAAGCTATAATCTATGCCTTATAAGTTGTACTAAATAAACTAATATAACTTAATTTAAGTCAAAAGCCGATTTAAATTGAAATTTTTTTTTACCAAACAGGCACTTTATGTCACTCAATCTAATTCATTGTAGGCTTGTAGTATTCTATGGTTAGGTTTCTTTTCTTTTTTATTAATGGGTTTCTAATAATTTTCATTGCAGAGAGACGGAGTCGTGTTGCCATTGTTGTTAAGGCTATAGGTGAAAGCTCTGAATCTTCAATTTCTCTGAGTATTGTTAAATCCGTACAAAATGTTGCGAGTCCTCTCTCTCTCTCTCTCTCTTTCATAATCGTTTTATTGTCAATTGCTTTTAATAAAAAAAAATAGTGGAACTATTTGGAAAAGAGTTATTTAAATGCATTGATATACTTTTCACTTGATACACTTCGTTAATTCTTTTCTTGCTTCCTCCATTTCATTCTGTTTTTCGAGAATTGCTTTTTAAAGTAAGTAGCATTTGCAATGTTTATACTACAATTAAGGGAACTTTTTTTATTTTCTTTGGCACTGCCTTCAGTCTAATAGATTCATCCAACAAACAGTCATTATTTTTATGTGGTTGTTTTTCTTTTTCTTCATAAGTTAAAGAAAGTCTGTGTACTTTATTCATATTCTGTTTTCTAATTACCCTTTTAATTTACTTGAGCAGTGGGATAGCTTTGAAGATCAGCTTGCTCTGATAGGACTGGGATTTGCTGCAGTTGTAGCTGTTTGGGCATCTGCAAATCTAATTACAGTACTTGCTCCAATCCTAATGTTACTAATCTTTATGGAATAATGGAAAAAATGTGCAGCAACAGGGTAACTTGGAGAGATTTTACGAAACAAGTTAAAAGACAAAGAGCTATACACAATAGTAGAATGGCATTATTAGGAAGGGATGTCATAAAACAGTAAACATAGAGTAGACGGTCCATGAATTCAGACCTTATTTATCACACAAAAATGAATATTAGGCCAAGTTTGGGAAGTCCCAAATAATTCATCTTTTTATCTTTTTTCTATCACATCACCTCTCTACTTTTCTGCACATCTTTTCGTAAAAAGACAAAAAGTGAACTTATTTAGCTCATTCTAAACAACCCCTTAGTCTTTTTATCATAACATTCAAATGTAAGCTGTACTAAATTTCAACAATTCAACAAGGGCTAAATCCCCTAATCATAATATAGAATGACAAATAAAAGGACTTGATCTGCTGTCTCAAAAATAAATAAATAAATAAATAAGAAGAAGAAGTAATTTAAGGACTTAATCCAAATTCCTCTTAACTTGTTAAAGAAATGACTTTTTTCTGCCTTATTTGCCAACATGAGTAATGTTGTGGTGACACCACATTTGGGTACCATCTAAGTTCTGATGTAACGTCTCACGGCACTCCAACCACATCATGTGATGGACTCACAGAATATTAGTTTTGGTGCTTAGCATTACTCTCTCCAACATTTGATGAAATCAAGTCGTGTGATAGTCATTAGTCAATACTTGCAGCAGTATGATAGATAAAAGCAGTCCTCCGAATATGAACCATAAGTAGTGGTATTCTTATCAATGTTCACTACAGTCTATGGAGTTACTATTGCCATTAGGAGGTTCCTCAGGAAATTTTAAGAGTAATTGTATACATAATGATGTGGCAGAATTATAGACCTATCACTTTGAAGACAAACAACCCATTAAGATGATTATTAATATCAAAATTGCCTCTGTCACATCATTCTTATCAACGATTCTGTATGCCAATTTGAAAACAATAATATTTTCCAATTTTTAATTGTGTTGCTTATGTTTGATGGTTTATCCTTTACTGCCTTTAATAAGAATTTTTATCTTTATTTTTTTAAACATGAATAGGCAATTGACAAACTTCCTCTTATCCCAAGTGCATTTGAATTCATTGGGATATTATTTTCTTCAGTAAGAATTTTGACATAGTTTTGTTTTAATTGATTGGCTAAAAGACGAGGGGAAAAAAAATTGAAATTTTACATTAACTTTCCAGCCCCCAAGTTATCATTACATCTCAATTTCCCTTTTCTGTCTTTTGTCAATAGAGCAATGAAATGGAGTATCTTATTCATGCACTTTTGTTTTCCAGTTGATTTGTTGGCATGGGATGCAATTGATCACAAGTAGCCCTTTTTAGCATTGGATCCACGAAACCTTCGACTTGGTCTTGTAATAGATGGATTCAATCCCTTTACAAATCTTAGCTCAACGTACAGTTGTTGGCCAGTGATGTTAGTGACTTATAATCTTCCTCTATGGCTATGCATGGCAAAGGAAAATATAATGTTGACATTACTTATACTAGAACCAAAGCAACTAGGGAATGACATAGATGTATATCTGCAGCCACTAATAGAAGACCCACAAGAATTATGGAATAATGGTGTGGAGGTCTATGATGCAGCCAACAAGTCTACGTTTAATTTGAAAGCTATGTTGATGTGGACAATAAATGATTTTCCAGCTTATGGGAACTTAGCTGGATGTGCCACAAAAGGGAAAGTTACATGTCCTGTATGTAGCATTAACACATGCTCACAGTGGTTGAATTACAGTAAGAAGATAGTTGTAACAATTCTGAGCTGTGATTAACTGTTAAACCATTATTACTAATGCTTAATAAGTAATTAAGATGAAATTCTGCATTAATTACATGCGTTATATGTTATTTGCATTTATATTTGTTCATGGTAGAAAAATCTGTCTGTGTTTCTAGTTCTTAATGCGAATTGAAGGCCTTATAGGCATCCAAATATGAAATTGACTTGATTTGTGTGTTATTTGGAATTTTTGCTCTCTCTCTCTCTCATACACAGTGCCTCTCCTTGGCTTCTCTCTACTCTCTCTCACTCTCGCAGATACACAGTGCCTCCTCAGTGCCTCCATCACTGTCTGCGATGCCTCCGCGATGCTTCTCTCTACTCTCGCACCTCTCCACCGTCACAGATCGCAGCCACCGTCGCAATCGCAGTCACCACTATCTTTTTCTCAGATCTGTGTTGATCTCACAGATACACAGATCTCAGATCTCATATCTGGGTTGATCTCCGTCATCGCCGCCGATCTTCGCCGAGCTCCTCCGTATCTGGGTTGGATCTAGGGTTTACATATATGTATATTATATATATATGACTATATAGATCTGTTTATACAAATATATCTGATTATATATATATATATATATATCTATGATGATAAATTTATTGGTTCTGTGTAGATGATATTTATCTGATTATATATATCTATATATATATCTGTTGATCTCCGTCATTGGTTCTGTGTAGATGATAAATTTATTTATGATGTTCATTGTTCATTATTTACAGATTTTTATAGATAAAAAAAAATCGGGGATTTTTCGGGGTCGGGGATCCCCGATCCCCGATCGGGGGTGGGGATGGGACCGGGCTATGAGTCCCCGTCAGGGATCGGGGCCGAGGCCGGGGAAAATTCGAGCATCGGGGATCGGGGACGGGGAGTGTGATCCCCGGCCCCGCCCTGCCCCGTTGCCATTCCTACCTGTATGTAGCATTAACACATGCTCACAGTGGTTGAATTACAGTAAGAAGATAGTTGTAACAATTCTGAGCTGTGATTAACTGTTAAACCATTATTACTAATGCTTAATAAGTAATTAAGATGAAATTCTGCATTAATTACATGCGTTATATGTTATTTGCATTTATATTTGTTCATGGTAGAAAAATCTGTTTGTGTTTCTAGTTCTTAATGCGAATTGAAGGCCTTATAGGCATCCAAACATGAAATTGACTTGATTTATGTGTTATTTGGAATTTTTGAAAATTTATGGTAGGTTCAATCGAAATTCGATTCAAAACGAATTAATTAGGATAATTAGTGTCAATTTGATTAGCTTAAGTCAAGTTTAATTGAGTCTCCTTAATTAAGCCTATATAAGGCATGTGAGATCTCTTGAATACACTTTAAACTCTCTTTTCAACATTCTTAAGCTTCAAACGTGAGAGAGGGAGGGAGAGAGAGAGTGTGTAGAGCTTGGAAACCAAAGGAGAGGAAGAAGAATTGTAGAGAATTCAAGGTGGTGAGTTTAGTGCTCAAACATTTGGATATCTAGAACACAATTAAGCTTCTAAGGTAAGAATTTTTAGCTTCTAGTGTTGTAATTTAGTTGGCCAATACATGGAATCAAGTGAGATAGGTGAATTAACATTAGAATTGAGCTAAATGATGGAATTGAGAATCAATTCATGCATGCATATGCATTTCGTGGAGTTTTGAGGTTGTTTTCAAAGAGTTCTCTCATGCATGTGGTAATTCTAGCATGGTTTTAAGAATTCATAACATTTCTTACCATTGGACCTCATTTGATCATGTTTTGAAAGCAATGAATTCATATCATTACATACATGTTATGTTTTCAACATTTCAAATTTGATTTTGATCAAGTGGCATGCTTTTGGGCCTTGATTTCATGAAATGATATTTAATTCTCAATGTTTTTCAAGTTTAGACTTGTTTTCTAGAATTTTGAGCCTAAAAGGATGTGTTTTGTGTGATTGAATTAGAGTTTTGAAGCTGGAAGAGCAATCTAGAAATTTCAAAATTCTGCCTTTCCACTTGAGCACCCGAAGTTGTGCTCGAGCGACCACCATTCGTTTTGTGCTTCCGCTCGAACGAAGAAGTTTAAGATCGAGCATAAAATTCATGCTCCTAGAAGTTTACAAATTTTGCAGACCGCTCGAGCAACTAGAGTGACGCTCGAGCGGAGACCCTGTTCACTCAGTCTCACACTCGAGCGACCGTTGAGCGGCCGTCGAGCAGAAAA